GGGGGTTGTGGGGGATGGGGGTTTGTGGGGGCTGAGGGGGGATGGTGAGGTTGAGGGTCACCTTGCCTATAGGAGAGAGGCAGGAGGGAGTGGGCAAGAATGTCTTTGCTCTTTGCTTTGGTTAAGCGGTTAAGCATTTGCCTTCGGCTCAGATCATAATCTCAGGGTCCTGAGATGGAACCCCCTCCCCATTGTATTGGGCTTCCTGCTCAGCGGGGAGTCTGCTTCTGCTTCTCCCTCTACCCTTCCCCCCCGTTGCTGGTGATCTCTCTCTCTCAAATAAATAAAATCTTAAAAAGAAAAAAAAAAGTTTCTTTGCTTGCTGACTGGCCTCTGCAGACCCATCCTTGGTCAGCAAAGCAAGAACACGCCCTCCGGGGCCTCCCGCCATTTGCTGACGACACCCAAGGCATGCCCAGACCCAAGCGGCAGGCCGCCGCGGTAATAGCAAACCAGCCTCAGAGGCTGGAAGAGTGTGGGCGGTGGCGGCTAGGGGCAAGGTGGAGCCGGGAAAGGCCCGGCCTCCAAGCCAGGCTCCATCCAGGATGCATTAGGACGAAAACCACACAGGACGGATGGCCAGGGTGAGCACTGCGCACAGGGGAACGACAGCGGGGACGGGCACCGCCGAGAGGCGGACACTCACCTCTCGAAGACGAAGCGCATGACCACCAGGGCCAGCGCCAGGGGCAGGGCTGCCAGCATATCCCGGGGGTGGGCATAGACCAGGCCATCCCGGTCCTCCAGGGCAGCCCACGAGTTGTTGGGTGGCAGCCACAGCCTCTCCTGCCAAAACCATTCGCTGAGGCTGGACCACATCCTGTGGGCACATGGTCCAGTTAACGGGAGCGCAGCTCGCGGGAGGGCCCACCACCCCATCCTCACCACCTGCCCCCTGGATGCCTGGCAACCTTGAGTTTATTACAGCCTGGGTTAAGGAGGGACTTGGGCTGAGTGCCCTCAGGCAAGTGACCTGACCGCTCTGAATCTCAAGTTCATTTGTCAAACAGGGGCAGTAGCCCACCTGTCAGCCCAGCCTGACAACACCAAGTGCTTCCCCGGGTGCCTGCTAGCCCTGAAAACACACCTCATGAAAAGGGTTATTACTTTGCACTTCACAGGTGCAAAAGAGGTGGCCAGAAGTCAGGGGACTGGCTGACTGGGGTCATAAAGTCGAGTTCTCAAATGTCCAGGAAGGTCTCCTGTCATATGGGAAAGTGCCTCCAATGCAGCCCAAAGATGACCAGTTGAGGAAATCTGCAGTTCGCTTCCTGAGCATCCTTCCAGGTGTGAACGTCGGCAGCCTTGCTTGCTATGAGGCTGGGCTGCGGCCGGGCAAGCGTGCCTAGTGATGACGTGCTCGCCAGGTCCCTGGAGCGGTAATCAGGTGAGCTTTCCTTCCCCTGAGAAGGCTTTCCAGCAGCCATCTTGAGGAGCCCAAGCAGCTCTGCCCTTTCCTGAGATCTTAAGACAAGTGCCCAGACCCCCACACCGGTCCCCACTTGGGATGTTTGTTCATCATTATGTCCGTCCATCCCATCCATCCATCCATCCATCCATCCATCCATCCGCCTTCTTATCTGCTGATCTACCTGTCTGTCCATCCACCAACCAACCCACTGACCAGTCATCCATCTGTCCATCCATCCATCCAGTCATCTGTTCATCCATCCGCCTGCCCACCTTGTCCATCTACCCATCTGTCCATCCACCCATCTGTCTGTCCATCCATCCATCTGCCCACCCAGCTGTCCCTCTGTTCTCTGACTGACTTGTTCATGCCAGCATGCGGCTAGGTGTTGGGGACACAGCGGAAAAAAAAGCAGACCCATTCCTGTCCCCGTGGAGCTCTCAGTCCAACACACAAGTACACAGATTCATAAATGAGATAGGACCGTGTGATGGGGCTGCTTGAAAATGAGCAGGGTACCATGATTTTAAATGAGGTGACCAATGAAAGCCTGAGGAGATACCATCTGAGCGGAGACCCAGAGATGAGGAGGGTCTGGGTTTATGCAGAAGAGAGTAGTGGTGGTAGGGAGGGACTTTCAGAGAAAGAAGCAGCAGGTGCAAAGGCCCTGAGGCAGAACCGAGCTCAGAGTGTTGGGGGAACAGCAAGAGGCCCCTGTGGCTGGAGCGGAATGAGTGAGGGGGAGAGAGTGAGGCGGGGAAGGCAGGGAGGGGGACAGGGGTAGGTCATGCAGGGCCTGTGGGCTTCAGGGAGGAGTTGGGATGACTTCCCCCAACATTTGTGATGAAAAATTTCAAACCTAAAGAAAAGTTGAAAGAATTTACAGTGAACTCCCAGAACCCACCATTAGATTCTACCGTCCACATTTTGCTCTACCTGCTCTATTTCATGTCTGTCAGTGCATCCATCTGCCCCCCTCCTTCCCCCACCCATCCGCCCCCCTCCTTCCCCCCCAATCTGGCCATTTTATTTTTCCAGATGCATTTTAAAATAAGCAGCAGACATCAAGCTGCATCACCCCTAAATATTTCAGCATGCAGATCATTAGCTAGGCTTCAGTATTTGCTAATGTTTTTTTTTTCTTTGAAGATAAAATTTACTAGAGCGAAATGCATAAATCCTTAAGTGTACAGTCGCTGAGTTCGGACAAATACAGGTACCTGCATGATGCAGCCTCCAACCACGGATATTCCCGTCCCTCCACAAAGCTCTTGTGCCCCTCTCCGGTCAATCTCCATGTCCCCCGTCCAAAGGTCACCTCTGTCCCGATTTTTGTTTCCACCATGCATTCGTCCCATCTGTGCTAGAACTTCATAGAAACAGAAGCACACACTCCATCTCTGTGTCTGGCTTCTTTCGCTCCGTGTAATGGTTTTGAGATTCATCCATATCATAGCATCTATTGGTAGCTTTTTTTTCTACTGAATCGTGGATACATATCATTTGCTTGTTGATGGGTGACTGGGATGCTTTCCGTTTGGGGTGATTATCAGCAAAACTGTTAGGAGCATACACGTCTCCCTGGTCAACCCCCAGGGGTGGGATGGCTGGATCACAGGGAAGCTGCCTGTCCAACTTCATAAGCAATGGCCCAACTGTTTTCTGGGGTGGTTGTACCATTTTCCACTCCCACCCGTGCAGTCTGAGGGTTCTGAGGGTTCTTGGTTTTATTTTAGGTAAGAACACAAGCCATGGGGGGTTGGCGGCCTCGTGGGAAGTGGCCTTTTGGAGGCCAGAAGGAGGTGCTATCCACCGGAAGGGGGTGGAGAGGAGGAGCAGGTTTCCAGAGACGACTTTTTAAAGTTTGTTTATTTATTTTTAAGTAATCTCTACACACAACATGGGGCTCGAACTCATGACCCCGAGATCAAGAGCTGCACGATCTTCCAACTGAACCCACCAGGCGCCCCTGCAGAGACATTTTGGAGGCAGAGCCCCCCAAAACTGAACACCCTCTAGACAGGAGCCAGAGGAAGAGACGTACACACACAGGATTCCATTTTCATCAAGTTCAACAGCAGGCAAAGCCCACCGAGAATGCCAGCATCAGTGTCCCGTGGCCAGTGTCCCAGGTTACCACTAACTCGGCGGCTTCAAACGATGCAGATGTACTCTCTCTCAGTTCTGGGGCTCAGGAGATGGGGCTTGCTGGGCTGAACGCAAGGCTGGGCAGGGCTGGGCTCCTTCTGGAGCTCCAGGGGAGAATCTGTACCTGCCTTTTCTGGCTTCTAGAGGCCACTTACACTCCTTGGATGAGGGTCCCGTCTTCTGTCTTCAAAGCCAACATCTCTCTCTCTGACCCTCCGGCCTCCCTCTAATCAAGACTTGGGGAATCTGGGGTCAGCCCCCATGTCAAGGTCAGCTGATCAGCAATCTCTATTCCCCTTTGCCACACGAAGCTCCAGGATTAGAACGTGGACATCTTTAGGGGGCATTATTCTGCTTAACACATTGCTGGGCATCGGACAGGTGGCTGCCCCGGGGACAGGCAGTGACCAGAGGGGCCCTGTGGGGCTGCCTAAGGCTGGCATGTTCTGTCTCCTGATCCGGGTGCTCTTCTCGTTGAGAAAATTCACTGAGTTATGCATCAGTGATGTGGGCCCTTTACTCGTGCCAATTAAAATGCCTGCACTTTACAAGTCTACAATTCTGATTCCAGTTCCACCATGTGGGCTTGTCCCCCACCCCGCGACGCTAGTTGGCTGTCCTGCAACTCAACTGAGTTCTGACACCCTACCTGGAGACAGCATCAGATCCCACAGGGTAAGGGCTCAGTCCTACAGAGACTGTCCCCCCAACTTCAGCCGCCAAGTGTGTCTAAATTAAATTGTCACCTGTGCTTCTCACCAACTGGCTATAAATCAAAGGATCCCTGGAACCCCTCCTGGGGGGGTTGAGTAATTTGCTGGAGTGGCTCACAGAACTCAGAGAGACATTTTACTTACTAGATCACCATTTCATTACAAAAGGACACAACTCAGGAATAGCCGGATGGAAGAGCAAGGTGTAGGGGAGGGGCGCCCACCTCCACGCGCACTACTCTCCCCAAATTTCCACGCGTGCACCAATCAGGAAGCTCTCTGAACCTCACCCTTCCGGCTGTCAGGGAGGCTTCATTACAAAGGCATGCTTGATTACATCATTGATCATTGATGAGTGAGTCAGCCTGCAGCCCCTCTCCCCTCCCTGGAGGTGGGAGGGGGCAGCACTGAATTTCTACTCTGTTTTCATGGTTGCCTTCCCTGACACCCAGCCCCTCTCCTTCCATGACCCAGGGGCTTTCCAAAAGTCACCGTGTTAACCTAACAAAAGACACCTAGATCACTCTTATTGCAGGAAATTCCAAGGGTTTTAGGCTCTGTGTGAGACCAGGGTCAAAGACCAAATTTTTATTTCTTACCATAAATCATAACATCACAAGTCAAATATAGAAAAAAGAAAAACTGTTAGAGTCTGGGTCTCAGAACCAGCATGTGGCTGACGTTCAAGTCCATGGGGATGGATGGAATGGCCCAGGGAGAGGGGAGATGAAGGAGCAGCCCGCAGACCCCGCCCGTGGGGCATCCGGCAGTCAGCGAGATGACGAGCTGTGGCAGCAGCTTGACAAACGGTCAAGGGTGTGTGACATGGCCAGTCTAGACCCCCCAGGCTGAGACGACCCAGACAGAATGGACAGATGGATGCAGAGACTTCTGCCTGGGTGGTTGATTGCTCCACAAGAAACTAGCTTCACTAACAGGCAAGGTTGGCTTGATCTGGAGCACCCCCTGGGGCCTGAGGGCGCATGCCCAGCGGGGGCGTTCCCACCTCCCAACCGGAGCCACGCCCACTGCACGGCCTCTCCAGCCTCCTCCCACTCTCTCAGCACACCTCCCTACACCCCCTCCACCCCCCCCACCCCCCGCACAGCGCAGATGGAAATGGGTTGGGAGTCCCAGGAAAGCCCCTGGCCGGCCAGAGCCGAAGCAGGTATCCAGGAGTCCAGGCCTCCAATCCCATATTCTTCTCTCACTCAGGGGTGCCCAGATGAGGATCCACCACCGCTGTGCTGCTTGCAAATCATGATGAGCTTCAGAGACAAGGGGGAACACGCAAGAGCAAGGACATCTTCCAATCTCGGGCCTCCGCCGATGTCCCGGCTTCCAAGCCCCCCATTCACTGCCTGACACTTTCTGCTCCCACCACACCATAGGATTTCACACAGCCAGCTTTTACAAGTGCTGTCTCCTGCCTAGAATGCCCATTGAATATTTACTGCCCTATGCTGGGTGCTGAGGACACTAAACAGTGAGGGAAGCAGGCAAGGTCTCTGTCTCCAGAGGGCTTACACACCTTTGTTGTCTGTCTGGCAAACTCCTAGGCATCCCTCAAAACCCAGTTCATTTGTCGCTTCCTCCTGGAGGTACCTCCTGATTGCCTCCACCTTGGGTTTAGTTAAAGTGCACTCCCCCAGCCCTGCCTCACTCACTGTGATGTTCGGAGCTAGTTATGAAGTCTTTTTAGAGACAGTGGGGGGTGGAGAAGGAAGGAAGAAGCATGATCAGCCTGGAACCCCAGTCCCCTCAGCCAAAGCAAGCCCAGCCCTTTCTGGCGTCCATGTCAGACTACCCCACCTGACTGCAGAGGTCTCAGCCCTGGAAGCCCTACCCTTTCTCTCACCTGTGTGTCTGTCCCCTCCTAGCACACAGGAGGGGCTCAGGTGCGGCTGTTACTGGACATTCATGGCCAGCAAAGCCCAGACTTCTCTTCCACTCCCCACCTGACCCCCAACAGACACGTCCTTCCCAGGGGACGGGAAGGAATGAGGCTCAGGGTGGCATTCCTCATCAATTTTCAGTTTTCTCCTTTGGGCCGCAGCTCCTCTGCTCATTTCCTGTGACTCTGCCACACTGGGCCCGGCTGCCCCATCTGAAAAATGGGTACAGCCAGATGGCCTGTTTTTCCAGGCTGTTGTATGGGGCCCAGGGGGCCGGGCAGTTCACCAACACTCCACACTGGTATCACAGCGAGGTGATTCCTGCCTCACCCATTTACCAGGCGAGCAACCTAAGGCAGGCAACCAGGCTGTTCTGTGCCTCCGTTCCCTCATCTGTGAAATGGGGTAACAAGAACCCTTTGCATACGGGGTGGTGGAGTGAGTGCTACGTAGGACTAACTTGCATGTTGTTAGCAGCGGAGAGGGGAAGCTGGGATGAGGGACAGTCTGGGGAGGAGGGGTGCTGGCCTGCATGCAGCAGGTTCTGGAAGGTTCTTCCCAGAACCTCCCTGACCTCTGCAGCTTTCCCTTAAAGCTGTAGCTGGTGAACTCAGGCTGGGCTTGGCCAGGGCCACCGAGGGGTCATTTGGAGAATCACCGAATGAGTGAGTGGCTGGTCCAGCCCAACCAGCCTGGGCCTAAATCCCCATCACCCCTGCCCTGCTCCTAGTCTCCCAGCAAGGCTGCTGTGTCTTCAAGCCTCTTTGGCCTCACTCCCAGCCCTGCCCCTGCCACCTGGGAGCCAGACTCTGATAATCCTTCTTAGTGGTTAAAAATATCCTCAGACCTAGAGAGAGAGATTAGGGCTTTGTGCTGATATGGGGAGGAGAGGATGAGCAGAGGATCCCTGTGCCCCCTCGGGGGTCTGACCCCTGGCTGGCTGGACCCCTACTGCTCCCTGGAACTCCGGAATGCCCCCCAGCATGGCCCGGCAGAGCAGGGTTATGCACAGAAGGTTTGTTTTATTTTAAACCTAGCTGGAAATACAGGACTTGCCCAGGGTTGTGAAAAAAGAAATCAATTCAGACTCCAGATGTCTGGGCTGCCCAGGGATGGACACACACACACACACACATACACACACACACACACACACTCCACCCTCCCTCTCGCTCCTGCAGCCTGGCCTGCTGCCGGGGGTCACCTGACTGCTGTGGCTGGAGGC